GATACTTCTAGCTAAAAAGAAAGAAAATAATAATATAATGAAAAGCAATGCATAAACTTAATGGGATATTGTTATTAAATACAAGATATGCTTAATTTAACATAGGTATCCCCATATTTGACTGTATTTTAAGTAGTACAACATTGTTTTAAATTTTGTTAGAAGTTAATAAACACACATCACTCTGTATGCCATGCCTATATTCCAAGTTGATACATGCTGAATTATAATGGTATTTAAAGTTCTCTGAAGACAAAGAAAATATGAATTTATACTGTATAGCACATTAGATAAAAATGTAGATGCAGAGTGGAGGATGAGTATCAAGAAGATGCTTGTTTGGCAAAAACAAGGGCTGATACTAAGAAATTAAGAAGAAAAATAGAAGAAGCAGGTGTATGAGTTTGTGGCCAGCAAGGCTACAAAGGAAGTTCTAGGATAGCCAGGGCTATACAGAAAAATTCTTTTTTGTTTGTTTGTTTGTTTTCTAATATTGTTCAGAATCATCTTTCTTTTTTTATATTTTGTTTTTAAATAATTTATTTTTTCTCAAATCGTAATTCATTCACACAGGGGTTATAAACACAGAAAGGCAGGATGTGGTATTCTTAAACAAAAAGGAGAATAGATATAATGTGGGCATCTATTATGCTACTTTTTCAACTTTCACATTTGAAATATTGTTCATTAAAAATATTTGTAAAAGCCTGTAAATTGATGAACATTCTAAACTTCTTTTTTATATTAGCCTGAAAACCAGATTTTGACCCCGAGGAACCCAAGTAAATGTAGAAGGAGGGAACATATGTCAAAACTTGTCCTGTCACATTCACGTCTTATTGTAGGTACATACACAAGTGTCATGCACATATACACAAATAAAATAGAGAGAAAAAAGGAAAAAAAGAAGGAAGGGAAAAAGGAAGGAATGAAAAAAGGAAAAAGAAGGAAAGGAAATATGGAAAAGGATGAAATCAAATAATATTTTAACTAAGGATCTTTTAAATTAAGAAAATGTATTTTTCAGCACAGGTTAATGTAGTAATTTTTTGAAATAATGGGAGATACATTGTTTATCTAAAACAAAAATGAAATATGGTAATTCCATAAGACAATTTTTAATGCTAAAGTTTAGAATCCAAGAATTGCTCAATTCATAGTTAAGATTTCATTTCCATTTTCAGTGACCTTGTTTCTGTCTCTTTCAATCTTCTGCCAGATGGGATTATCCTATATAAAATGTTCTTCATGGATGGTGTCAGCAATCTATTGTCTAAAGTTTGGTTTCCCACATTCCCTTGACATGTATGTCTACTGGAATTTTCAGAAAAAAAAAGAGATTTTATGAAGTTGTATCTATATGTCAAAAATGACAGCAATGAAATATATAGTGATTCTGAGAAAAATAGAGAACAGGAATTTATATGTGTGTACATATGCATACACACATATATGTATACATATACATTCATATGTATTGTTTATTTTATGAGTCCCTTTGGAAATTTGGTTAAATCCACAATTCTTGACAGTAAGTCAATAACACAAAATACACAGAAAAACAATGCATTACAATAGTTGTCAAAATATTACAAATTTTGTGATATAATGCAGGTCCTTATTATGAATACATTATAATATTTTTGTAGATGTAATAAATACAGCATTTTTGAGGTAAACAATGCTAGGTAAAAATAATTGCTAGTGTTCTTGAACATGGAACAGAGACTACAGTTTATAAAGATATCCAGTTAGATATTTTATGAACACTATAAAAACAGCATCTTAAAGCTTCTAAAGATAGTGTTATGGTTATGGTTACCCTTTGATCAATATATATTGTAAGCATGTATTAAAGTATCACACAGTACACGCTAAATATATATAATTTCTATATATCAATCCAAAATTTTAATGTTTTTGGAGCTAAAATTTTTATTATTCTAATTTGAAGATTATATATTATATATAATTACTAAATTATCATTACTATACTACATAAAGTTTAAAGGTTAGATTATTAGAAATTATGCATAAAACAATCATGAGAAATTTCTTGAGATATGTAGAGTAGCTATCATGATATATGAAAATATCTATGATTTCAGAGTCAGTATTTCTGTGAAATTTAATTTTATTTGTTTTGATTTTGATTTTTGGCCAACATTCCACATAGAAGGAAATTCTAAATTCCATTTTGAGGTTAGTGAAAACAAGGAAGTATTTTTTCTATATTCAAGACTGTGGCATCCCTTGAATTCTATTCACAGACCAGAATTATATAAAAAATAAAAATCCTTCATGCACAAGCTTGCTTTTCTTTATCCTACAACTTCCCCTCAAATAAAACATATTTTAAATTGCATCTCATTGTTTATAAAGATTATTTTGGAGTATATATCAGTAAAATCATAGCTACTCTCCATAAGCCTATAGATAGTACCAGGCATCTCTGTTATGTGGTGGATGAAACAGGGAACTTTCTGTGAGAAATTGCATCATAAGCATATTTTATACAATTTATACATTTCATAGAAGTCTACCACTACTTAAACACTTCAGAGAAATTTCTTCTAATCATTTTGGATTTGTTGTACTATCAGAGAGAAACACTTAAATTATATAGCAGTTTTCCAGGGGGTGGGAATTTTGAGGGTGGGGAGGTGGGAGGGGGGGGTAGGTAGGGGTTACATCCACAGAGAAGAAGGAGGAGGGGTGAGGGGATTGGGGGTTCCTGGGTGGGTGGGGGATGGGGTAAGGGGACAACATATGAAATGTAAATAAAACATCCAATAAAAAATTAAAAAAAATTATATAGCAGTACAGTTGCAAATAGTTTTGTACATTTGTGCTTAACATTACTTCCTTAATGTGTATCCTTGACTATAGAATGATCATTATTTCTAATTTAATGAGCATAACAAATAAAAATGATATTGTTACATAGCACAGGCATCCTCGTTGCACCTGTGCTATAAGTAACTTCTGTTTCCTCTTGAACTCCATCAGTCTTGTACTGAAAATATGCTAATAACAGTTGTTTCATGATTACAGTCCTTTTATATTACTTATGGTAATATATTCTTGTTGAAATGAGTTCATTTGTACATTTGCTATTACATATTTTGAAATAGCAGTGAATCTATGGGAGAATCTGTCACTTATATTTTGAAACGTATTTGTATTTCACAAAACTTAAATGGAAAATAACCCCAAGAACTCTGCCACAAAACTGATGCGATTGGAAAGCTGCACATGATCATTTTTTTGAAAGTATAAAATGAAACAGAGAACTGTAAAAGCTAGAGTTTTTAAAAAAAAACTTAAAGGATCTGATCTTGAGTTTTTAAAGCACAAATTACAGTATTTATTATAGGTTAAACTGGTAAAATGAGAGAAAAATTTCTAACCAATTATAGCCAAATCCCAACTGTAATTAACCTACAATTTGAATTATATTTTACAACAGAGTCAGTATATAGCACTTTCTACACAATTAAAGGAATATAAAATTACAGCGCTTTATTGGTGGGCAGATAAATTGCCCCCATTGTTATTTATAAATTATAACTTCAACTTAGAAGTGAAAACATACAAGATTTTAATCACTCAGTTTAATAAACATTATCAGGAAAAATATAAACATGTTTTGTTCAAGTACTATGTAGTTTATAAACACAAGAACCAAAATGTCTTTAAAATAATTATCCTACCAATTTAATCACCATTATAAGGTCTTTATGATATATATTTTTTTAATGTTACATATCATTATTATTAGCCTAGTCATTTCTTACATTCTTATTTTATACTACATTGAGCCCATCCTCAAGAGTGACATTAAATAACTTTCAAACTGTGAATCAACAGATTTATTATTTAATTAATGAAATGCTTGTATGATTAATACCAAGATTTTGATCACTCTTAAGGGAAAATGTATTAATTATCAAGGAAGTAACTTAGCAATAAACTTGGGTTCTTTACTTTATCTCAATATAATAAAAATTTTAAATCAATATTTAATATAAAAACATATTTAGACGATTACATTGTTTTTTAATTTTGGCAAGTTTTGTGTGTACATACACATATGCATATCAACTCATGTGTCTCTTTTGTATACACTAAGAGTTCTACACTATTTTTGAGTAATGTAAGTTGGTATGAAAGTATACTGGACATAAATTCCAAACCTTCTTTTTAATATACCTTAAACAAAGATGTTCATCAATTCTAGCCCTAAATATTAAAATCAACATATTATGCAGATCACATGTAGGATGCAGTGATTACCATAGAATTGAATAATGTAATAGTCTCATTTGGTAAATGAAGACCAAGTTCTTCTTTATACAACAAGAACCTCTAGACTCCATAAATGGAAGCATAATTCCAAATCTCATATATATTTTCTGTGCTTTCCAATTACCGTAACATGAATTTGGTTTCAGGTTTATTCTAAAAGAAAATTAAATGGTGATTGAATACTGTATCAACCATTTTCTATTTTTTTTCTTCCTTTTAAATTTGAATATTTTCTACCAAAGAACCTTTTCAAGAATATAGTAACAAATGTAATTGAAATGAAAGTTAATAATACAATCATGTTTTTACAACAAAAACTACAAGCATTGTTGTGAAAATCATACCAAGTACCTATTTTTCTTACAAAATAGTCATTTATGATTGTCTCTCCTGATCTTTTTCTTTTGGGGAAAAATACCTGAGATTCAGCTGGATAAAGCTGGAATACACTAAAGAGAGCCACATTTAGGCAATCCCACATGATTTTTAGCACTAATTTGGAAGTATAAAACAACTAAAAGGCGCTAGAGAGCAACAAGTATGTATTATAGACCAAAAAAAAAAGTCATTGCTGCTATTGATATTTGATGTACTTCTTCACATTAGCACCTATCATCCATATTAAAATCTTTCATGAACAAAATCTATTTTAAAAGACAGTGTAACTCTGCTAAAAGTCTCTGTCACCCTACCTCTTTCTTCTTTCTGCCAGCTCTTTGCAGATCTCGCGCCACCGTAGACTCAAGCTTCCTATTTTTTCTTGTAGAATATTGGCATCTGTTTTTGACGACTGTTGAATTACTTCTTCCCCAGTTGCATTCAGTGTTCTGACAACAGCTTGGCGCTGCCCAATGCCATCCTGGAGTTCCTGTAAGCCACCAGAAAGAAAAAACAAAACTGAAACCCAGTCTCCTTTAATCTGCGAGAAAGTTTAAAGAACATGTTCCTGTGTGCGGTTACAACAAAAAAAGACAGAAACAGAAAAGCTCACAATGAAAGTTGCTCAGTGAACCTGACATGTACACTTCCAATGGATACAAGACAGAAAGACACCTTTTATGTTAGTGAAAAAGCACCCTCTCAGTTCAGCTCAGGGAGTCGGGGTTGTTTTGTAAGCTTGTCAGCTAGAGGATGTTATCCTGTCCTACAAATCAATTAGTTGGAACCTTCTTAAGAGAAAATTCGATTTCTTGTCCCCACAAGGATGTTCTATGTTTAATAGTCTATGAAGTGCTGTAAAATTTAAACATGAACCAAGTATTTGGATGTATTAGTTGGTTGTCAATACAAAGGTGAAAAAGAACACTCATACTTTAGCTATAGTACTTTTTAAAAACTCTCTAGAGCTTTTAAAATAAAAGTAATTACTATATTACAGACATTTATTTCAAACTCTGTTTGCACCGATCTATTTTGCATTATAAAGCCACATAAAACTGAAAATTAATTGCATTCAGGGCAACCCATCAAGAATCCTCTAATGTACAGTAATAAATCTGAAAATAATCTATAGCTACCAGAACAGTTTTATGAGTCGTTGGTGGTGACAAGCTTACATATCTTCTACAATTTGCCCTAAATGAAAATTTAAGAATAAAGCATCAGAAGATTGTTCCATTAAAAAAAGGCGTGATTACAACCAAGTATGCACAAAATGAGAATGACTTTTACCATTAAAACTACAAATGGAATTCCTTCTCTGTAAACCTATTTTAAAAGATAATGTAGAATTTTTAAGGAAAATAATGCATTGCCAATTCTGAAATACAACTTAAGAACTTGAGATACTTACATTTTAAATTTTAAATGGCTTTCAAATCCTTTTGTTACTGACAACATGCTAACAGTACACAGATTATATTTGCTCATACATATGATTCATAATAGATTTGTATACATATCTATCAAATCAGTAAGTTAAAATTTTGATTTTAAAACTTAGCTCTCTTCATCTTCATTTTCTATCAGCACCAAACTATTTTATTATCACTTTTTAAATTTTTTATTCATTTATATTTTATATGCATGTGTATTTGCTTACATGAATTTACATATGCCACCCAAATGAACGTGACTACACATGGTGAAAGAGTGTATCCGATGCCCTAAGAACAGAACCTGAGTCTGTTGCAAGATCAAAAAGTGTTCATAATCACTGAGCAAATTTTCTAGCATATATATATATATTTATATTTATACATATGTTTTTAGTTGTGTGTCTCACTCAGAATGGTATATCTGGTGCATAAGAAGTTTTAGTTAGTATCTCTTTAGTTAATGAATAAATATATGAAATAGGATACAAGAAGGGAAGGAATATAGAAAGACAAGAAGAGGGAAAAAAGATGAAAATAAACTAACCCAATAAAACCACCATTATATTCTCACTGGAAAAATAAAAGAGTCATAAAGGAAAGTATAACTTTCTAGATTTTAGGCAATAAGTTATCTAGTTGAAGAGATTGGACACAGTTGTGGATGACCATTTTTTATATACAATAAGACAGAGAAAGCAACCTTTAAAATACACAGTAGACCAGATGAAGGATGAGCTCGGTAGTAGGAATAATACAAAGGGACTCTAAGGTGAGTTTGGGAGATGATAACTGGCCTTAAACATATGGAGCTTTAGGAACAGCAAAAGGCTGTCAAAATGTAAGGACTTTTGGAGAAAACCTCCATCATTACGATCATAAAGATCAGTTTTATATTGCCATTATGGAGGTGTGAATATAATCAAAGTTGTAACAGTGAGACTGTGTTGTGGATAGACAGAACATAGCTTACTTTAATTGGGGTGTTTATAATTCATGAGAAGTCAATTGAAGAAACCTCCATTTCTAGCTGTGTGTGGTGGCATTCCTCTGTAAACTCAGCACCTATCATTTTCAAGCTGGAGGTGTATTAGAATGTATACATTTATCATTAACTGCATAGTAATTTCAAAGCAGCCTGAGCTACATGATACTTTGACTACAAATAAAAATTTAAAAATGAAAGGAAGAATGACAAAGGGTAATAGAAGGGGTGAGAGAGAGACAGAGAGACAGAGACAGAGAGACAAAGAAACAGAGAACATTTTTCCACTCTGAAAAAAATATCTTTTTAAAAAAATCTGAATAAATATTTCTTAACAATTGTAAAAAGCCATTCAGGGGTCAGTTTTGAGCTCTGTTTCCTAACGACTCACAGTTTATGGGTCCCAAGTCACCTCTGGTACATCATTCTTTTCTAAATTAATTAATTAATTAATTAATTAATTTTTACTTATTTATTTTATATCCTGTTTCCTTTCCCCCTCATGGTCACCCTTCCTCTTCTCCTCTGAGCAGGTTAACTCCAGAAGTACCAAGCATTTTGTGCTACTGAGCATGGAGGGAATAATGTTGATTCAGGCAACAGAGTCAATCCTAGGTATCTAGGAAGAAACTTATTGATGCTCAACGTGAAATTTGACAATGGGCTTGGAAATAAAAGCCTGAAAGTACTATGAAATGTTAAATAAAATCTCCAAGGTTTGTAAGCAACTAGAATTATACAATAATGTGTTAGATTCCTGAAGGGGAAAACTTCACCTAAAGAGTAAGTATGAAGGCAGTTAGAAGGGGATGGTTAGAGGCATGTTCAACACTACAATTAACTCACAGTTTTAAAAATGTAAACACACAAAAACCCTCTGGATTCTTATAAACTAGAAGACTCATTTGAGAGGTATTGTGGGGTGACACAAAAGTTAAATGAAGAGGCAGAAATATAGTATATAATATATATAATATATATGTAATATATATTATATATGCATATATATGTATATGTAATATATATGTAGTATATATGTATATATATGTATATATATTCCAAATAACAATTATTTATGAATGAATTATCAGAATAGACTTTAAAATAATAAAAAGGAATTCTAAGAGAGCTTGATAAACTGCTGTTCTGACTCACTGAGTCTGTAGAAGGACAGGGTTCTGTATTTCTCACTGTCTCCAAGAAGTGGGTAATAGCGCTTATGCAGAGACAGTAATTGACATAGTAAGGTTGTAGACAAAATGTCATGTGTCTTCTGTATTAAGGGATTTTTATTGCTGGTTACAATTATAAAGCCATGTCAGAACTCTTATGTACTTTTGATCTCACCTCTTTACCTACCTGCTAATATCTATGGTGACTTTTACAGCTAATTATAGAACCAACAAGGACTTTATTATCTCCATATTGCAGATAAGAGATAGAATTGTATAGCTAAAAATGAACTGATTACTTAAGATTGTTAGTTCTAAATCTCATTTATACAGAATCCTAAATCAAAGTCTTTATTATTTTAACTCTGTAAAGGAAAACCTCATTAAATAGTGCATCAAATTTATTTGAGATGGTTTTGTAGCCAGGAGAAATATTTACAGTGTGTGTTCTACTTAAGAAGGATATTTCAGCAATAAAGCATGAGAGAGAAAAATAATAGATCAAACAGGAAATAAAAATTGCATATGCTGTTTCATGGTTAGCTTATGAGGCAGAAAAAGATAGCACTTGATTTACAAAGTTAAATGTAAAGTCTCAATCAACTTCATTCACTGCAGTATAAAAGCATTAATTTTAATTCTATAGTGTATAAATATTTTAAGTACTGAATTATTCATTACCCACGAAACTTCCAAGCTTTGATAATCATATTAATATACTGTTGTCATAGGCATTCTTATCTACTTTTCTAGCAATTAAGATCTAGTTTTAGTATTGGACAAAATGAAAATCATAAGTAAAACTACTTGATAATTCTGCAAAGTCAGAAAAGCTTTTGTAGTTTGATTCCAATATTTAAGCATTCATTCTTAATTAGGAGCACATATCAGGCTCCCCCAGGGAGCTCTTTCAAAACACAAATGCCCGAATTTCCATGCCAAGCCTCCAGGATAAGAATCTCAGGGATTGGGAGTATAGTCGAATGAAGGTATTTAAAACTGATATGCTATGAAACAAAGGTGAGGGCAACTAAAGATAGATGGAGGGTGCAGGGAAAAGCAAGGGCTATGTCTGTCTGATAACAACTGAATAACTCTTAGCTCCCTTTTCAATTAGAAGTGAATGGAAATTATATAAATAACACTGTTACAAGTCTAAGTCTTTTACAGCTGCTAAAATTGAGGAGAGAAAAAAAATATAAGAAGAGTAAGGTGCCAATTGTTTAGAAATGAAAAAATATGAGACAACAAAAAGAAGGGCCCATTGATTTTCATTATCATGGAGCTATTTGACGATATGCAACTACTTCCTTGATTAAAATGTACTTTTTGTTGTAAACACAAAGCTAATACCATAAAAGATATCAATTTTAAAGCATTAAAGAAATGTTATCTAGCTGTCAAAAAAAAAAACAAAAAAAAATCCTTATCTTTTATGTGATATATTGAATAAATTTTAGAATAGTCTACTTATAAATTATCCTAGGTTGTATCAAAATACAATGAATGAAAAATAAAGTATGACAAATGTAGAAAAGCAATGAGCACCCCCTTGCAAAAGTAAAATCCCACAATTATGAGAAAATGAACAATGGATTTTAGCATGAGTTATGTGTGAAATAAAATCAATTGTGAAAATTTAAACTGAGAAACAAAATACACAAACAGGAGAAATAAATTATTATCATCTGGGAGACAAAGAAGAAGGCTGATAGAACAAAGCAAGAAAAACAAACATTCAGTGAGTGAACAAGTAATCCTGCATCCTATCCTGGGGTTTCAGTCCTTGCAATCTTGACTATTTTGAGGCAGATGAGTCATTCATTCAGTCTACAAATTGGTCAAATGTAAGCATGCAAGACAATGAACCAATAAATAGTTGTCAAACAGGCAGGTG